TATGGGATTGTGAAACGAACAATATTTGTTGTATTTTATGCAAGATATATTATGTATATACGTTGAAAAAACCCTTCACAAACATCAACCCTCAGAAGTTTCAAGAAAAAAATCGAGTTTAGTGAGAGAAATCAACAATGGGATGTGGGGTGTAATAAGAGGTTTAAGAAGCGATTTTGGGTAATATACTAAATCGCTCTTGTTTAATTTTTACATTAGACATAGTCGGTTTTGATGATCTATTAGCTGGTATAAAATTTGAAGGCCAATTGTAGTTACATGCCACAAATTTTAGACCTAGACCACTATTATTACCATTGCCACAGGAACTCCGTTCCGATGTTGGAATCATAAAACTTGGAAATTGAGCTTAATATTTGTATGTAAATATATGTATGTGTGTGTATGTATATATATATCGGAGTCTATTCAAGGGACAACTGATTAGTTTGAAATAATTGTGAGATCTAATCTTAACCACAAATCAATGAATAAATTAGAAAACTAATATTTTTGGTAATTTGACTTATAATTATAATTAAAGGGCATTCTAGGTATTTTAAAATTTTTTATCTCTCTCCTCTCTCTCTCTCCTACCTTCGGCCTCCGACGAACATCATGTGATATCCAAAAATACACCAAGAGACACAACGTGATACCCAAAACACACCAAATAAATTTTGAGACCTCTGTGATACCAATTGTGGTACCACTGTGATACCAACTATGGTACCACTATGATACCAACTGTTGCCGGGATGGGGGAAGGGAGATAAGTAGCGAGGGGTCACAAGGACAAAGATGGGGCTAGCTATCGGGAATGCTCACAGGTGGGTGTTTAGTGGTCGATCATCGGAGACAACGTCTTGGTCAGACAAGATGACCGGAGGAGATCATCGGAGTGGTGGTGGGTGCTGGAGAAGGCCACCAGATATGGACACACAGTGTGTCTCTGTGTGTATATACATATATTAAAATAATCAAACTAATTAAAGTAAATTGGAATATTAAACTAATTAAAGTATATTGAATAATCAACATATTTTACTAATATATCTTTTGTTTTATTTTAGTAAATAACATTAATTATTTAAAATGATTGACTCATATTGGACCTTACAATTACCACAAACTATCTAGTTTTCATTTGATTAGACCCATATATATATATATATATATATATATATATATATATATATATATATATATAGGTGGAGGTT